TCAAAGACCCGAACGAAAGACGCAAGATACAAAACAAACTCGCCCAAAGAAGATTTCGTTCGTAGCACCAATTGTAATAGCGATTCGGTCTACTCTAATACAAACCAGGCGACAAAGTAAAAGAGCAGAAAGAGGAGACGGAGCGAGACGATGAGAATCAGCGACAAGCTGGAAGCGCATACGCATCGCCTGAACCAGAGAAGATGGATGCAAGACAGGTGCTCTCGGGTCTGCCGTGGGGTGGCATCTCTATGAGACATATTGTTGAGACGGGGAAGAGTAAATAACAGAATTCACGGCGCAACTCTCGTGAGAGTTCGACACATGATGGCGCGTCTTATACTGGCTGAGGGAGCCTTTGACCATTGTATGGGACAAGATATCGTATTCATATGTGGTGCTGGTAACTACTGATGCCTACTTATTAAAGTCCTGTGCTTCGCTGTCATGTGTTCGTCCTGCTCGTAAAAAGGCTTCTCTACTATCATACATTTTCATGTCCTGCATGGTACACCCCCCCCATTAAGCGTTGATCTCTCTCATAAGATTGCATGGTGAACTCCACAAGAATCAAGCAATAGCAGCGACCCTCTCTCTGTCCTTCGCCATCTGCTTGGCGGCTCGCTGAAGCTCTTTCCGGAGTTTTCCCTTTGTGCTCTCCATACCCTGGAAGACATCCTCGTAGTCGGTGTCGTGTCGCTTGATCAGGGTGCTCAGTACATGCTCGCCATCCTGCGCGTACATCTCAGCGATGTCGTCTACACTAGTCTCGTTGCCGACAATGTGCTGCATAACCCGCTTGGAAGTCCTTATCATCAGTTCATGAAGATCGCGCTGGTGCGGCTGCAGACTCGCCTCCCAGTCCATCTCTTCTGCTTGTGATGTTGGTAGAGGTGGGTCCGTTAATGGCTCGCGTACGGCAGAGGTCGAGCTATGGCTACTAGAAGAGCCTAGGTGTGGCGGGGAGGATTGGAGATGTATTGGCGAAGCGTCGAAGAAGTCATTGTCAGCTTCCTGATTGTCTTCACCGCCACCGATCAGAGTATCGTCCTCGTGATACGCCTGCTCGATAGGCCCACCATCGTTCAATTGCCGGATCCCTTCGTTGAGTTGTTGCGGTTGGTCCACGATCTGCCGAGTCTCTTCGAGCAAGTTCCTTGTACTTTCAGTGGCTTCTTGGTCGGCCTGAACAGTTGGCTGAGTAGTATCGATGAACCGCGAGTTGAAAGGCAAGGTGGGTACAGTCGTCTCTTTTCCTACCGCATCTCCGGGTACCTTTCGGGTCGTTGTCTTCTCTTTGGATAGCGCTGTGGGCTTTGAATGTGTGCCAGCCTGCTCGTTATGTCTCCTTGTGTCGTCTTTTTGTTGCACTCCTTGATCTCTCGACTCTTGTGTCTGATGATCTGTTGTGCCCGTATAAAGGCTCGCAACCTTGGGATTTGGGTGCGCCTTGTTCGTATCTCCTTCTGTAAGAGTCGCCTCTTTCCCACCCGAAGGCGTCTTTTGTAGGAATGGTCGACTCGCTGCAATTGAAGGTAAGGCTTCAGTTGCGTTAGAACCGGCGACTAGCAAAGGCCGCTGGTTTGAAACGTCAATCTCAGGGGCTATGTCCTCGTTCAATGAACCTTCTCCAGTCAGTCGGCGTATGAACGATGTGGCCTTCTTCCCAGCAGATCGTCGGCCAAAGGGGTCGCTTTTCGCGGTCTGCCAATCTCCTGTCTTCTTCTCCGAGGCTATATCCTCACGATCAGCGTGACCAGATATCGCTGTTGATTCTGCATTTGGTGACGCGGGGGTAGGTTTGCTGTTACTGGAGAGCATTGCGGCCTCGACAGCAATCGCATGATGCCACTCATCATTCTCTTCGGCCTCATCAGCCACAGGCGGTGACGATGCCATGTAGTGTAAAGCATCATCTCCAGAACATCTCCGTGCTTCCACAGGGGTTTGGGGCCGCACTGGTACTCCCACAGGCTTTCTACTCAGTTTGGTAGGAGTTGACGGTGTTTGAGCGACTCTTGCAGGTAATGTTGGCTTCTTGAACGGGCTCTCGGAGATATTGGCAGGTCTTTGAAGACCCAGAAGTCCTCCGATCAAGGTGTGTCGTGACGAAGGGACGGATGATGGAGGTTTTGATGGTTTCGCCAGCGGAAGAGTTTTCGCCTGTTGTTTCACGCCGGTCACAGTCGACTTCGTACCTTTGCTCGGCTCTTTACGGGATCTCTTTCTCGGGTTGGCATCGGCCATGGGGTCTGGTGTTGCTTTGCGTTTGGGGTTTGTCCTCTTTTTCGGCCTCGTCTGAGTTGGTATGAAATCTTCATCGTCGTCTGCTTCATCCTTACTGTGCGATGTGCGTGCCTTAGTATTAGTCTTGGCTGGTTCCTTGTCCGAGACAGTCTTCGAGCTTCGTGATTTTCTTTGGGGAGATGAAGCAACACTTGTTTTGTCCGAAGAAGTAGTGTGGGTATTCCTCTTGCTTTCTATAAGCATATCAAGAGCTTCATCTTCCGAGTTGAGCTTTTTGAAGATATTCTGTTTGGTGGCCTGAGATACACGGGGTAGCTTTCCTTTGCCGTACATGCGTTTCGATGTCGACGATGGATGCTGTGACTGGAGTTGCAGAGCTGTCGCATCGCTACTGTCTGCCGTACGTTTCTTGGAGGTGACACGCTCTGTCCGAAGCGTCTGGGAGCCACTTCGAAGCGATCTTCTTGCGTTTGACTGTCGGATCGAAGGCGAGCTCGCATCGATAGGCAAGTTTCGAGACACTCTCGAACGAGGTTCGCGTTCTTTCTGATGGGCTTTGATGCAACTCTCCCACTCTATTGCATCACCGGAATGCTTGAACATTAGCGATAGATCAGTCGCAATGCGTTGCGTGGAGTTGAGACGGTAGCTCCAGGGTTCGGATGTGAGTGTCATGACGAGATCACATGGTTCATGCTCTGTACGCTGAGCCTGTGAGTTGTGTAGTTTCGACGGTTCTGATCGCGTGTTCAGAATGTGCTCGACTGGTATGTCTACAAACTGGCAGTCTTTCAGGTACTCATCGGGCGCGATAATGGTCAACACTCCAGCCTCAATGAGCGCGATAGGGAACGTAGCGCTTGACTCCCGCCATTTGAACCCATCTGTGGCGAATAGTGACACTAGGTACATGACAGAGGGCTCGTTGGTTGGTCTCGCGAGTGCCAGGTCGCTCAGAATATCGAGAAAGCCTTGGAACTTCTGCATCCATTCGGCATCGGCCTGGAGCGGAAAATTCGGCGCGCTGTGTCCGACTTTTCCCGTGGACCAGAACCTGCTGTACTCGATCCCTTGTTCCAGTGCCTGCCGTATGATGATACCAGCAATAATTTTGATCTGCTCCTGTTCAGTTTCGCTCAGAATGATGGCTCCCAGATTGCGTAGACGCTTAGTCGATGCCCCGATGTGTGTGGCCACCGCCGGCATTTCCAGCATGCCTGCGAGCGCAATGCCGATCCATCGCCGCCGGATTAAAGAAAGACCAGGATCGCAGAAACTAGTCAGATAGTCCTGCGCGACTGAAGAAAGACTCGAGCTGCTGAAGTCGCGTGCAGAGACGAGTTTGTAGAGGCGTAAATTGGACGCGTCGTTGTCGGGCAGCTTGAGAGCAGCTTCAAACGAGATTGAAGTCATTGCGATAAAGGAAAGTAGAAGAGAATGGAATTAGCATTTTTCGCCCTACACGAGCAGGATAGCGGAGTGTCGTTGAAGATGTGGACGCGGGCAATGCACCTAAGGAAGTGAGAGCGCGGTACTGCTAGGATGGAAGTCGCGTCCCATCGGCGTTTGACGTCACAGCTGCAGGCGCGCGCGAGTTTCGCGTGGCGGGCTTGAAACCACGAACACCAACCAACAGTCGTTACCTGCACTTTACATTCAAAAGAAAGCGCTGCGACTAAAGGAAATCGCTGAGGACGACTAAAGGGGGTGCAAGAAAATAGGGGGGTTCCCAGCTTTCGCGGCCGCTCGTCACGGCTTCCAGTGGCTGTGAGGCGCATCGATGCCTGCATGCATGCGTTTGTACATCCCAAGATTACTATACTCACCCAGAACCGGTTCCCATGCTTTTCGGTTGGCCATACAGTTGCGAGATGGAAAGCGATGCAGAGGTTATTGAAGGTGCTGTATTCAAGGGGAGAAAATTCGGAAGAGCGGCTTCTCCTCCACGCGTTACCCCAAGCGAACGCGCTTTGGACACGCAAGGACCGCAGCATAGGGACAGGGCGTCCTACTTGTCAAAGGCATGCGGACCTTCTGCAGTCTGGCGCATCGTAATGCAGCAGCTCTCGAGCCTGCGCTCTCCGTTTCTTACCCCGCTGCAGCCTAGAAGCATGCACTCCATTGGGACGGATGCAGCCTTCTACAGCTGACCTCAATCCGTGCGAGCCCTGTATCTGCTGCAGGGGCTTCATGCTTCGCACATATGATTGCGCCCCGAACGTGGCTGGTAATTTATAGTAAGACGGAGAACGGACAAGTGTCTCGACCTTGACAACATCATGGTTGATGATGACAGTAGCCGGGTTACGGGCGACATCACACCCTCCACTGTGCCAATCGTACCGAACATCAGCTCACGTCGATTCCACGTCATTATTACTGGACTGTGGCTTTGTCTCTTCTTATCTGCCTTAGATACTACCATCGTCACGACCGCGCTCATCAAAATCTTAAGCGATTTCGGTGCTCTCGAGCAGGCAGCATGGCTGATTACCGCGTATCTACTGACCTATAATTGTAAGACTTATCCATCGCAGCTTCATCACCGGACTAACGACACAGCGTTCTTGATGATCACAGCAAAGCTGAGCGACATTTGGGGCCTCAAGAGTCTCCTCTTACTTTGCGCGTCAATCTTCCTGGTATTCTCCATGGCTTGTGGCGGAGCGCAGACGATGACTCAACTAATCGTGTTCCGCGCCTTCCAAGGCATTGGAGGATCTGGCCTTTACAGCTTGACATTCGTCGCCATCATGAAGATGATTGTCCCTGAGAAGATTGGCTTCTACTCTGGGATCGTAAGCTCGGTATTCGCTTTGGCAAACCTACTAGGGCCTCTACTTGGTGGAATCATCGCTGATCGAACAACTTGGAGATGGATATTCTTCATGAAGTATGCAAGGTGCCGGCTATTGAGATGTGCGAGCTGACTAGCATTAGTGGCCCCATCATCGGTGTCGCAATAGCAATGTTGTTCTTCTCGATGCCTGCATTCGACGACGGTAGAACGAATCTGCAACGCATACGCCATTTGGACATCTATGGTGGCATATTGTCTGTCTGCTGGCCTATACCTCTCATCTACGCCCTTCAGGAAGCCGGTGTGTCGCATGCCTGGGGCAGTGGTGTCATCATCGGACCACTGGTAGCTGGAGTCGCTCTCCTAGTACTCTTTGGGTTGTATGAGTATTGGATATCGTCCAGAACGCAGAAAGCCCCCATCTTTCCCGTACAATTTCTTCGGAATGCACCCATGGCGTTGACCCTGTTGTAAGTCTGGAACACTGCAGTCGGACTCCGCTAACAGCGGGACAGGAGTCAGTTTCTCTTAGGATTCGCCTTTTACGTTGCCTTCGTCCAGCTGCCACAACGCTTTCAGGGAGTGAACTTTACAAGCGCGGAGCGTGCCGGTATCCTTCTGCTTCCTGCTACCGTTGTGACTCCGATTGGTGCTATGGCGTCTGGACTAGCAGTAAAGAAGGCACCAGTTGAGATTGTCTTGATTGGCTCGACCGCGATCGTATGCGTTGGTATTGGACTTCTTAGTAGTTTGCCGACCTACTCTCACCTGTGGCCTGGACTGTACGGTTACGAAATTATTACTGGTCTTGCTTTGGGTCTTGCAAGTCCGCCATATTTCGTGCTTGTCGCTACCTCAATTCTAGAAAAGGACATCGCTGTGGGTACCGGAGCGCTCAACATGGTGCGGACGCTTGGCGGATGTGTCGCCGTCGCCATCTGCTCTGCAATCCATCGCGAGCAGTTGAACACAGGGCTGTCCAATTTTTTGAGTCGCGAGGAAATCAGGGAAATGCAAAGTTCGACATCGTTGATTGCGCACTTACCGGATGCGGCGAGGGATCGTGTTGGTGTTGTCTTTGGTAACAGCTGTAGGTTTCAATTCCCTGGAAATATAGCTATACGAGACATACATGCTGATTAGCACCACCATGCCAGACAATAGGCAGTTCCAAGTCATGCTGGCGTTCACAGGACTCAATGTCATCGTCGCGGTCATTTTAGCCATCGTCAGAAAGCGATCCGGGCTATTCGGCCTCATACCTGAAAGGAAAGAAGGGAATGAGTATGTGGAGGCTAAAATCGACCAGAGCGGGCCCGCATCGAGTGGAGTGCTGGCTCAAGATACTTGTGAGAAATAGGCTTCTGAAATCGCGGCTACACACAGACCGGATGATAATGCGGGCGCGTGCCTTGGAAAACGAACGTGAACAATTTACGGTATATCCACATTGTTGATCACGAGACGCTGTGTGGATACTATCATGGTGGCTCCATGCTGAAGCATTTAGCGATTTCGGCACTACCGCAGTAGGGAAGTCCGGCAGGAAGCACCGAATGGACAGGTATTGAGCCTTGCTTCAGCGCATCAATCCGCGCCTCTCCCTCATGGGATCTAATGTCACTCTCCGGCCAGAAGGATTAAAAGGCTGTACATTTTTCGACATACGGTGTCGAGAAGTGCTTAATTCCGCACGATTGTATCCGTATTGCTAGCAGATAAGCACTTGGTGATGTCTAAGCAAGCAACGTCACAAGCGCATGCTTATGTGGAAGCTTAGCCGTCCCCCGCATCTTGACCCCCGCACACGTTGCAACGCCCTTCACGCTTGAAAGCTCGGCATGCGACGCCTCAATGCTCGGCATCGATAATGCTGCGCCGTTGAGACCTGAAACGAATGTGCACATCGTTTGCCTCACAGGATGTGGCGGCATCAAATACGTTCTGTCGACGCTGTATCGTATCTTCAAGACGGCCACTAGCGGGGGATGTGAATAGTGGGCCACATGCGACACGAGCCTCTTCATCACAACCACAGCGCATTACCGCTACGAGTATGAACAGATTTAGAGACACGAAGAAATGCTGAGAATATGCAAACAAAACTTCGGCAGCATCATACAAACAGACAGGTATTCAGACAAACGGCACTTCGCTCCTACTTCTGAACCCCGACTCTCCGCGGGAGAAGCTTCTCTGGTGGTGAAGCCAGGGATCGGCAAGCGCTAGGGAGTGGATGGTGGGGATTGGATCCTGGAGAAATGCACACCAGTCCCTGCCGTCATCGGAACAAGATCATCATGAGTGGACTAGATGATAGGCGGCTCAATAGCCTCGGGCTGACGATACCCCAGCCGCTTTCTCCAGTGGTTCGACAGTTGGTGACGTTCTTAAGGGACAGCGTCTCGCTCGCTGATCGAGGGGTAATTCCGGACAAGCAAGTTCCCAGTTCCATGGTTGAGAATACTGGCTTGTGATTCTTTCGGACCGCGATTTGTTGCTTGACGTTCTTGCGCGAACCCTTTTCTTAAACGCTCTGGGCACTGACATTCACTAAGAGGCTTGTTCGAGGCTTGACATCTTGCCCAGCTACTAGCTCACACCCTGTATCTACGTCAACAACATGGCCTCTGGAGTAGAGCGGCCGATTGATAGGTCAAGCGAGGAAGAGAAGACTATCGGCGAGGAGCATGTTGAGACGGCAAAACATGTCCACACGATCGAGAACCTACCTGATCCCGACGCCGGTCTCAGCGAAGAAGAACGCGCTGCGCATGTAAGCCACATCTCAGCTCCTTGCCATAAACATACTAAAACCTCACCCACCAGGACAAAGCCCTCCTGCGCAAACTCGACTTCCGACTAATTCCATGGCTCTCCTTCCTCTACTTGATCTCCTTCCTAGACCGCACGAACATCGGCAACGCCAAAGTTGATGGCTTGCAAGAAGATCTCAACATGACTGACGGCCAGTACAATGCCAGTCTGACCATCTTCTTCGTCAGCTACTCCGTCTTTGAGCCACTGACCAATGTGCTGTTGAAGAAGTTACGCCCGAGTATCTTCTTACCACTTATCATGATCTGGTGGGGGATTTGTATGACATGTATGGGGTTGGTGCATAATTATGCTGGTCTTATGACTGCGGTGAGTCTTTTGCGGTTGGTGATCTGGTACCAAGGGTTATTTTGCTGACGATGCGTAGCGGTGGTGGCTGGGATGTGCTGAGGCAGGACTATTCCCTGGAGTAAACTACTACCTGAGTTGCTGGTACAAACGTTCCGAGTTCGGCATTCGAGCTGCAATCTTCTTCTCGGCTGCCGCTCTAGCTGGTAGTTTTGGTGGCCTACTCGCCGCTGGCATTGCGCAGATGGGAGGCGTAGGCGGAAAGCCAGGCTGGGCGTGGATCTTCGTAAGTGCAACTTGAACGCTTCCTCTTACCTGTGACCATGTTGCTGACAATAACCCCAGATCCTTGAAGGTCTCGTCACCATCTTCGTAGGAATAGCAAGTTACTGGATGGTCCACGACTTCCCCGCCGAAGCCACATTTCTCTCTCCTGACGACCGAGCGCGCGTTCTCCGCCGTCTACGCGCCGATAAACAGGCCTCAGCTGCGCACGAAGAGTTCCAGACCAAGTACTTTTGGCAATCCGTCAAGGACTGGAAGACGCTCATGTTTAGCATCATCTACATGGGTGCAGACGGTTCGCTCTATGCCTTCAGTCTCTTCCTGCCTACCATCATAGCTGGGTTGGGCTATAAATCTACGACAGCGAATCTGCTTTCCGTGCCACCTTATGCAGTTGCAGCTGTGGTGACGGTGCTAGTGGGTTACATTGCTGATCGCACGCAACAGAGGGGTTACTGCAACATGGGAGTCTCGCTCTTTGGTATCGTGGGCTTTGCCATGTTGCTCGGGTCTGCCAGTCCGAATGTTCAGTACGCGGGTACATTTTTGGGGGCTGTGGGTATCTACCGTAAGTGAAGTCATCTAGCAACATGGATCGCTTGGTTCTAACATGCTCCATTAGCAACAATAGCGAACACCATATCCTGGGCCGCCAACAACGTCGAGGGCGTGTACAAGCGGGGTGTCACCCTTGGCTTTGTGATAGGCTGGGGCAACATTAATGGCGTCGTTTCGTCGAACATCTACCGCAGCAGGGATAAGCCGCGCTATTTCCTGGGACATGGTGTGGTTCTGGCGTATCTGACGCTGTGGCTACTAGGCGGTAGTATCGTGACACGCTTTCTGCTTGCGTGGGAGAACAAGAAGAGGAGGCAGGGAGCGAGGGACCACTGGATTGAGGGTAAGAGCGAAAAAGAGATTGAAGAGATGGGGGACCAGCGGCCAGACTTTTTATATACTCTCTAAAATGTAGGATTGAAGCTTGGGCAGGACAGTAGAGCGGACTCTAGGCGTATCGCAATAGACTTGGCCCAGTCAAAACTTCTGAACCTTGGCTTATTGAAGTAAAGTTCCAAACTTCCGACTCATTTCACTTGGATAGTAAATGCGTAGCGCGATAAAGTGCAGAAATGGTATATTCGACGGCGTGGTTACTCATGGTATCTGGGAGACAATGTTGCAGCCTCGGAAAGAATCAATAAAGTGCAAGTTCGCAAGCTTTTAGCCCTGCGCCCGTAAGTCGAATACATGCCGTAAGATGAACGCCGCCCAATGCATGTCGTTTTATAAATTGGCCTCTCTCAGGTAAAGGTCAAGTGCTCCAGCTCACGCACCAACCTTTCGAGACTTGACGCTGTTCGCGCGTTCCTTCCTCTCGTTGCGGCGCATCCTCTCCTTCCGGTCTTTCCGATTATCCGCCCTCTGGTCGTGAGCCTCACCGGTCTTGGCTTCCATCTTCTCGTCAACCTCGACCAGCCAGTCGTTCTCGCCCGCCTTGTTCTTGCCCTTGTAACCCCACTTGGGTACCCAGTCGCCCGTGGCCTCGTCGTAAGCCAGCTTGGTGTCGCGCTTCGTGTTCTTGATGCCCTTCTTCGCAGCAAACTTGTCCCACTTGGTGGGCTCCTTGGCTTCGGGAATGGGCTTCTCGCGGGGGAGGGGTGTTGTTGGCGCGGGGAGCACGAGGTGGACGCCCTCTGAGTTTGACTTGATTTCGCAGGTCGAGAGGAGCTGGTTGATGAGGGCTTGAGCGGCATCGCGGGCAGTGGCAGCGAGGGTGGCTTCGTCGGCGCCGGCGGGGACGGGGTTGGGGTCGTTTGCGAGCAGGTTGCCCAGGTCAAAGGTGAAGGGTGTGGGCTTGTTCACCGTGACAGGTCTTGGTTGAGTCAGCAACGGTGTGGTAGAGGACAAAGCAAGCATGCGACGTACAGTCGGCTGGAGATGGTCGAGTCTGCGACGGAAGGTGCGCCGTTGGACTTGACGTCCATGGCGCCTCCGTTGATTTCGTCGGCGAGTTGAGAATGCGTGGGCGAAGTGCCACCAAGCGCGACGCCGCCGTCCATTTCGGTGTCTGACATTTTGCGAGGGTCGAGTGGTTTTGGTAGAATTTCACTTTGCGCGCCTGCTGCCAAAAGTTCAGAATAAATTTCGAGTCCGTGCACGAGCGGCGGACTCCCGAGGCTGCGACCATCACAGAATTCGTCTCTCGCATCGCCAATTCGCCCCATTGCGGAGGGCCAGAGCCTCAACCACCCGTCATGCCGCCGTCCACGTGTCTCCGGAGCTTCTCGCAGCTGTCGCTTGATGCCGCCGCCCATGGATGCATCGCACCGCGCGTGCTACGCCCCCAGATAGCCTGCTTTTCCACGTCGTCCGCCCGCTATGCCGTGACAGGACCCAAGAAGAAGGGCATGACCGCCGCCCCCAAGAAGGGTGTCAAGTCTCTCAACACGAAGAAGGGCAGAGGAGCATCAGGAGGTGACTCGGGCAAGCGGCCGGCCCAAGGAGAGCGAAAAGCCCAGCGGAAGCGCATCGTTCTGAGCAACGACAACGCACTTGAAGTATCTTCGCTGCGGGACCTCACCAAGGACAATGTGCTCAGCGAACAGAATGAGGGCAAGGTCATGGGACTACCGCAAGAGACTGTAGTGGATGCGCTGCGAGCCGTCGAGGCATTCAAAACAAGCCAGGGATGGGGTCTGTTCCGCCGACCAGCTGTGTTGATGAGGAAGGAGGCGATTGAACTCGCGAGGCTGTTCAACGAGGCCGAGAGCTCCAAGAAGACGATAAGACGGATACTGTGCGGACAAAGAATGAGCGGGAAGAGCACATTGGTACTTCAGGGCCTTACCATGGGTTTTATACGGGACTGGTTTGTGATCAACATCCCAGAAGGTATGGACTGTGGTTTCGAGGCAGAAACGTGCCACTGACAACTCTCAGCCCAAACCC